GCCCCGCCTATGTCTGTAGGAAACTCTAGTCTTTGATTTGAGGGGCTCATGAGCACTGACCACTGGCATCCTCTTCCCATTTCCTAGAGAGTTAGCCCATAGTTTCCAATCCCTTCTGCTTGCTGGGCAGTTCCAGGCCAGCCAATTTTCTTTCCTACTTGCCTTATTTTGACACCTGTGAGATGGAAATAATGCCTCATTGGACACCAGTGAGAGTGCCTGAGAGTTTACGATTTATAATAATGCCATGTAATGTGATGATTAGAGTAATTATTTATAAAGCACATTATCAAGATCCAAAGTTGAAAAGGTGCTTTTAAGCTCAATGAGCACATTAAAAGCCTTGTTAGTAATTGGTATCCACTGACGGAATTTCTCTGACAATAACTAGGCACAGTCTGCATTCTGGGAAATAAAAATTTAATGCTGACGTTGTTCAGGGTCAATGTGCTACCTGCTCAAAGTGCCTTCTAATATTGTTTTTCTAGGTATGAAGAATAATACACACTATACACATAAACACACACGATAATGAATATTGTCATCAGCTACGTTACAAAAAAGCACTTAGTCATACTGAGGATTTTAGGGGATCTAAACCTTTGCAAAATCATCAGTGGTAATTTGTAAGTGATTTTCACGTAATGTCTACTGACTGATTTCTGTCTACTCTCCTTCTGAAGAAAAAAACTGATTCTGATGTATCTTAGTTATATTAACACGAGAACTTTAATAAAACTCAAGTAAATATCAATATTTTTTTGATGCATCTATTTAGTGAATGTCTATTTTGGGGAACTGGGTAAATACAATTGGCTGGTTTTCTTTTCGATTCCTCTTCCACAAAGAGGAGGATAACAACAGCACCTACCTCTTAGGGCTGTTATGAGGATCTAGTAACTTAATATATGTAAAGTGCTCAGAAATGTGTCTGAAATATTGAAAGTACTGTGGAAGTATTAAAGGAGCCCTGGTGGTGCAATGATTAAGTGCTTGGCTGCTAACCGAAAGGTCAGCGGTTCGAACCCACCCAGCAGCTCCATGGGGGAAAGACCTGGCAATGTGCATAAAGATTACAGCCCAGAAAACCCTACGGGGCAGTTCTACTTTGTCACGCAGGGTCACTATGAATCAAAATTGACTCAGTGGCACCTAACAACAATGACAATAGTTAAGTATTAAGGCTAAACAATAAACAGCAAATACAGTGATAGAAAACATAAGGATAACTGGCCAGCTATTCTTAAGATATTTCATTAGTGAGTTTCACAATGTTCATACAAACTTCATTTTGAGATAGGCGACAGCATGTTTATCTATGTAGAGTTAAATATTGATATTTTATTACGATGAAAATATTTTATGATAAATACAAAAAATTCAGATTTTGAAAGCTAATACAGCTCCATATACTATGAATAAAGTCTAGTTCATTTAAAAAAAAATATAAAATGTGTAAAATATGGAGAGCCAGGAGGCGATGATGGCCCCTCCTAGCCTTTAATGATCAGTTTTCAGTTTTTCCACTGCTTATAGGAAATATGAAGATAAACAGTGCCATTAGAGAATACTTACAATTTAGCCTTCCAATTGTGTTTTATTTAAAAACAAACAAAAGAAAAACAACATTTAATCCTAGAGAAAGTTACCGTTCACAGCTAATGAGAAGCCTGGGATTTTGTTCTGATAATATTGACCTTGGACCAATATCCTGCTGAAATAACAGCAATTAGGGATATTTGTGCTAGGCATAATCTAGACTGGTCAAATTAATGATCAGTGAGTAATTCAGATATTCTACCATTTTGCTCAGGGTTTGAGTCGTGTGATACTTTGTGACACCTGGCGAGTCAGTCTTTTGTGTTAACTGGGGTACCTGGAACATTTCTGGACTTGGGGTAGGGGTTGGAGAGGCATATAGTGAAGCCCACAGAGTTACCTG